AAAGAATGTGATATGGGAAAAGGCCTGGCCTTCCTTGAAATTGACATCTGCCCTGTGACCCAAGGGCACTCGTGGCAATGTGGCCTAGTGCTTAACGTGTTAAGATCACATGCTGCACTGTCACAGTTTGACCCTTGCTGGAGGTGTTGATAAGACCTATGTTAGGTCGAAACCTTAGTCCATCCTGGATGAGAACAACTTATGGGAAAGCAAGGCTCTGTGAAATTCATTGGAAACGTCAGCTCTTATCATATAATTGTGGTAAAATTTTACTACCAGTCCTTCATCACCTTAAACGAAATAGGGGGAGTACATCTCATGTATTTAAATTCTTATCTTGAGCTGTCCATTAGCTTCTTAGGCCTCATATTTGCTCAGCTGCAAAGTGTATTCTAGACCTTCTCCTTTATAATCTGTTCATTTTAATTTTTGTGACTTATTATCTCCCACAAAAAATCCCCAGCAGATGGTATGGGGACGAATGTGTCTTTCTTCGACTCGGCATCTGAAAAATCTCTTTATCACCATCCCATCTTGCCTGACAGCCATCTGGCTTCCCCAGCTTCAACTACAATTACTACTCGCTCCGGGTCAGGTCAAAGCAACATCCAGACTAATAATTATAATGACCACAACCATGGCAACTGTACGTCAACTAGGGACAATATTTATCTGGATCAAGGAGGAGCTTTGCACAAACGTGTAATGGGAACCAGTAGCCCAATGTCGGTGACTATCTCCAATGAGGTTACGCAACAGGCCATTTCCAGATTACGCAAGGTATGAACATTGCAATTCCTGGGCAGGGCAAATCTGCTTGCTTAGTCAGACTTGACCTAAGTTTTTATGCAACCATACTTTTAGGTACAGACTCGATGTATTTTTAATCCAGAAGTTTCCTGCCGCTTCACCTGTATCCCATAAAAACCCAGAATTATATAGTTCTCCGTTTGCTTTCTGATCGTTAATAAAACTAAATTTCTAGCAGCTGTTTAGGTAGCCCTAATGCTGATAGTTCCAAATAAATGAAATTGTTATATGCTCTGTCTTGCGGCCCCTTTGATTTATAGCGCAGACATCCATCAAGGATCGGGATCTTCATACAATACTTCGGCTTCCCACCCTTTTTTCATGTTAAGGATTGACTATCAATAATTCTTGAATATATACTAGTCCACTCATGTCGCTCAAGTGATCGTAATGACTGATAATGTATTTTATAACTAAAATGCTATGAGTTTAAACTCAATTATTCCATTGAAGTTCAATTGGTTTTGTCTTCCATAAGGCTTTCTCATCCAAGTGAACTAAAATTTCGACATTTTATAGGCCTCATTATCTTCACTGGAGGGATTCGAAACAGGTTTGTGCACATCCTTCCTACACGTTATCATTCTGATATACTGCTACGGTCACCAGTAGGCCTTAGGGCAGAGTTGATTCTCAAGGCCTTTCCAAACTCACATTTATAGTAATTTTTGGTGAAGCTGTGAGAAATTCCTGAATTAGAAATTAGTCACCTAGGTGATTATGAGGAATAAAATTTTTCTCGCAGTGATGTCTGGTCCAGTAGTAGTGTGCCGCAATGATGCGCACAACATGGTTGTGAATCCTTCGTCTTCTGCCACAATAGACACGATAATTTCCAGTATATTTTGCTATTTTAACTTTAGATCTTATCTACAATAGTTGACCTCGTTTTTGCAAGTTGGTCTTGCTGTTAAAGGGACTTAGTTGAACGAACCTTGTCCGAAGTCCTCTGCTATAGTAGTTATCATAATTTCCAGCATCAGACCAATGTACCAAGTCCAGGATCTGATGCTGGAAATTATGATAACTACTATTAGCAGAAGACTTCGGACAAGGTGCGCTGAATTATATCGCTCTGACAACAAGACCAAGTTGCGAAAAAGAGATCAACCCACATCTTTAAATTTTTATCCCCTTCTTGTTTATTACAAACGATGACCTCGTTTTAATCTTAATTTTACCTTACATTTGGCTCTTTTAAGTCCTTTATGCTTCCCACTCCGTTTGCATGCATTCAGCTTTTCGACAATAAACTTGGTGTTCACCTGCCTTCTGAACCAGATCTTCTGGCTGACTGCCTGAAATCAGGTGCCCTGCTTTGTCGTCTAGTCAATCGACTTGTTTCACCTGATGCTGTCAAAGAGGCAAGTAGTTGTCATATTTAACCAAATCCTTTGCTTTTGATAAAGGAAACTCTGGTTTCAATTTTTATATTAATAATTAGTAGGAATTAGTACTATCAGGCATTCAAGGCAAATCGAAAAATTTAAGAGTTAAATAAGGCAAATATTTCAAGACTACTAGTAGATCATTTATATGAGGCATATTCACCATATTTCGCTTAAGGTGATAAGGGGACTGGTAGTTGAATTTTCCCACAATAATACCAATGGATCTTACGTTTCTATCGA